GAAATTTAATTTCGATAGTAAGATATCATGATTAACACAATCAAAAGCTTTTGCTAGATCACAGAAAATCCCTCCCACAATTAATCTGTCATTGAGAGCACTTAAAATATCGTTAGTTAGTTCATAGGTTGCTTTTTCTATTGTTAGGTCTTTCCTAAATCCAAATTGCTCTTTGACTAATATGTTGTTAGAATTTAAGTGTTCAAGTAGTCTATTATACATAACTTTTTCAAAAACTTTTGAGAATGAAGTCAATATGGATATTGGTCTGTAATTAGAGATATTTCGCAATGCATAGCACGCAGAGGATAATCTACTGATCACTAGGTCAATATGCTGTTTCCAAGACAATACATCATCAATAATCAAACCAAGCAACTTAGTTTCTGTTACACTGGAGATACTTTCCTGATCATAATTAATATGTGTTGTGTTACAATTCATGGACCGAAACTCTAAATATTGAGTTTTATTCAAATTTAAAGTAAGTAAATTAACATTAAACCAAGTGTTTATATCTTTAAAAGTTTGGTTAAGATTTGTTTCAAAGTTTACATTATTAGTAACAGTAATTATGATACTGGTGTCATCAGCATATAGAACCATGTTATTATCCTTATTTATTATTTTAGGTAAATCACATATATAAAATAAAAAAAGCAGGGGACCGAGAATCAAGCCCTGTGGAACTCCACATTTAACTATTTCCCACTTAGATATATTGTTACTACCAGTTATATGACCCAAAACAACTCTCTGATGTCTACCAGTTAGATAAGATTTAATTTGTGTTTTAAATATACCCTCTATTCCATCGAATTCCAGTTTATCCAACAAAATTTTGTGATTTACACAATCAAAAGACTTTTGCAGGTCACAAAAATACCTCCTACATTCTGCTTATTATTCATGGCTGTGAGAATACTATTAATCAATGAAAATGCCGCCTTCTCAGTTGAAAGATGTGCCCTGAATCCATATTGCCAAGATACTGTTAGCTTCAATATGAGTGATTAATCTCGAATAAATAAGTTTTTCAGTAATTTTTAAGAAGGAAGTTAACAACGAAATGGCCCTGTATTTAGGGATTTCTTGTATGTTGCCCTTTTTAAAGCAAGGTTTAACTATGACAAATTTTAATCGATCTGGAAATACACCAGTACTCAGGATCGCATTGCAAATATATGTTAATGGTGAGATTATAAATGGAGCACTTAATTTTATTATTCTACTAGAAATCTCATCAAATTGTGGCAAAATGTATGCAACCACGCAGCCAATTTTAGTCAGAAAAATCAAAGGCAAGATGCTCTTTGAGATATAGGCATAGATGATATTAAAATAGAGATGGAGGAGTGTTCATTGGAAATTCTCCTGGCAGTGATGGGCTGTTGTGAATATGGTAATGAACCTTCATGTCCATAAAGATGGAGAATATTTTTACCAGATGAAGATCCACACCATGTAGTTAGTTAAATATTTACAGTTACAAGGGTACTTGGTAAATCGAATGATGCAAATAATAACAGGTAACATAGTCCCTTGATTTAAGCATCCTGCCTTGACTATACAGGGTGTTTCACGACTTTAGGGCATAACTGCAGGAGGTGATTTCCTAGGTCTTTGTGATCAAAAAAGTTCATATAAATATGTGTCCGATTTTGGACGGTTACGGAGTTCTGACCGTTTTTTCATTATCGTACACACCTTCATGTGAACCGCGTCTATCATCTGGCGGGTCACTATTTTTAGCTAGCTACAGACAGAGCGTTCTCGTTATCTCGACACTTGGGAGGTACCTAAGGCGTGGTGGGTTGGTATGTCCAGCCACGGCTAGTGTGGCGGCTACTGGCGTTTGGAACAATTCTCGTCTCGGTGCATCTGTTACGTTCATGATGCCATTTACATTTTCATTTGAGGAGTATGCAGATATGATTTATGTGTATGGGTTTTGTGACGGTAACTCAGTTCTTGACGTAGCTGAATATCAGCAACGGTTTCCGAATCGTAGAATACTGAACCGGAGAGTGTTTACTGGAGTTTACCAGGCATTGCAAAATACCGGTAGACTTCCCGGCATTCGTATTGCATCTGAGCGTGGTGTTAATGAAGGTGTCAGTGAAGAAGGCATTGTTCATATGGAACACCACAGTCCACGTATGAGTATGCGAAGATTTGCCAGCCAGGTCTCCAGACTTAAGCCCACTGGATTATCGTGTATGGGGATGGATGAAAGAACTGGTTTGCAATGCGAAGGTGGCAACACGAGATGCTTTGCTCGGTCACATTCTGGACGCCGCTGACCACATAAGAAACAGCCAGCTGAAGCTGCTACGTGCTACCCATGTGGTGTACAACCAAGCGGCAGCCTGTGTTGCGGTCGTCGGTGGCATTTTCGAAAATCAGCTTTAAGCACCAATCAGTTCAAATTAAAGGTAATTTCACGAAGTTAACTTTACATTCATACTTTAAATGTATCATGTATTATGCTGGTTTATTATTTTGTTCCGTTTATTGTCAGTAATCATCACCTTCTATTCTGAGTTTAAAGCGGTCATAACTCTGTAACTGTCCAAAATCGGATTCGTGTTTATATGAACTTTTTTGATCACAAAGACCTAGGAAATCACCTCCTGCAATTATGCCCTAAAGTCGTGAAACACCTGTATATAGAGGATATGAATATCCAGTTTTCATAATCTCAGTGTTATATGTAGCTCCATGCTCTGACTGATTTACCTCCAAGGAAGGAGTTTTCTTTCCCATCTGATAGGAAGCTGGATTGGTGTTATAGCTGGTCTGGACATGGTAGTGAAGAAAAGTCCTTCCACACCAAAGAAAAAGAAACCTCAGTTAGTGCCAACTTTAGCAGGTAGAGGTTGTCACATGGTCAGTGCAACGAATCCCCGTGGCCGTAAATCTCGGTTTTCTAGACCCGAGCCGCTGTTTCCTTGAAATAGCTCCTAAATTATCCTCACGAGGCTAAGTGAACCCCATTCCAGACCCACTACTTCTCAGAAAATCTGGTAATGCCGGGAATCGAACCCAGACCTCTGAATCTGTAAGCAGGAACTCTGACCACTAGACCACAGAGGCAGTCAGTTCTTTCATACCAGAAGTTAAAAAGTTTGATCATTCAACCTGCTGTCTGTAAACCTTGTGGAATCTGAAAGCATGCTACCTGTATACTTGTTCCTCTGGTTATCCTGAACTTTTGAAGTTGTGCCGAAACTTCCAACCATATGTTTCATGTTGTTGTACCACATTAATGTGTAACTTATGCCTCTTTCTTAAAATCATGTGCAGAATAATAAAAAATCACCTTTATTGAAGGTCTATAATTATACAGAAAGTACAAGAACACTTAAAACAAGATTAGGAGATGAATTGAAATTACTCACTGAAGTATTTAGCAACTGCAGCTCTCCGTTTAGGAAAGGCTATCTAAGTTCTGATTAGCACCACAATCTGTTGTGTGCTTTATTCAATCCTGTACTGCTGTGTTTCCTGCGGCAGATCAAGTACAGCTTCTCATGTCTACAATGTCCAGCCATGTATGCACAGATGGATCAACGTACTGGTGATGCACTCATCATATCTAAGGCAATCCCTCTTCCAGCTCTCAACGTAAGTGCATTCTTTCTACACACCAGGACCACAGGCTGCTGCTGACTGCTGCTGTTGCTTGCATCAGCATGTTGGAAGTAATCCTTCGGAATAATTTGCATGTAGTAGCTCAGACTGCATGACATATATACAATTGTCTTACAGGCCTGATGAATATGCTTCCTGTAATTAATTGGTCCAAATGCTGAATGACGCTCAAGTATCTTAATTTTTCGTATAGTCATATGTGTCCTTCCTGTCTTTATTTCAGTATGGTTTTTATTTTTATACAGTGAAACCTCAACCTAACATTAACTAAGAGAGGATTTAAAAGTGTAACATACACTGTTATACTCGTATGTATTGTAAACATGCAGATCAAAGGAAGAAAAAGTTTCTGGATAGCCTGATCTATGTAATATTATTATATACATTTCTATGAGTGACAGAAATTTAATGCAAATCATTAGGCGTTTTAAGGAACTGAGTGTTTTGTGATTGGTCCTTTAAACATAAAGGTTACATACGAGTACAGAATTTGAATTTGAGATTCTCAAGGGAAGAGACTCTATGGGAGACTCAGATATAGATGGAAGAATAATATTAAAATTAATTTTAAAGTATTGTAGTGTGAGGATGCAATTTGGATTCAGCTTGTTCAGCATAATTTAAATGGTGGACTTAAATGAAAACAGTAGTGAACCTTCAGTTTCTACAGAAGCAGAGATTGTCTTAACCAGCTGGGCAACTGTTAACTTCTCAAAAGAGATCCTGAATGATGGGGTGAGTTATTTTCAGTCTGTTTAGATCAAATTTATAGAGTATATGCTTATGATATAAGCACATGTAAATTGCAGATTGGAATAAAATAAATTGAACTGTAGAAGTGTTGAATAGGAATATTATGTTGATCTTTCACTATATCAATTTGTGTCTCACTCTTCTGTAATTGTACATATGTGAAGTCTGGTGTACAAGAAACATTTGTGTGCTTTTGTATGATAACTTCTCATTTCAACCAGGTGTGCACAGAATTCAAGTTGAAATGGTAAGAGTATGAAGTATATATTGTTTCAAACAAAAAATGAAGAATTGTAATGCAATTTCCTCATTTCAATCACTAATAAAATTATAGTAATACCCCCAGAAGTAATTACAGCCTTCCTAACACCAAAAGAAAATAATATGAAATTAAAAACATGTTTTATTCCAAATTTATTATGCATCTCCTATCGTTATTTGATAGAATGTTATTACTTTATTATTTTGATTATAAAATTATCAGTGCACTAATTGCACAGGCCTTTGCCACAAGTTGAAGAGAGGCATTAAAATATTAACAACTTGAAATGCCATACCTGTGAGGATTGTGATGTCACTTACATATGGCTCCTTGAAATTCTTCATAACACAGAGTTACAAAAAATTTTCTAAATACAAAATTTGGAAAATACAGATCAGTGTGGCAGTCCGCACACAATGCTCTTTATTTGTGCTATTATTTGTGTTAAGTGTTAATGTGTTATCTCTCTGCAAGAACTCTAATCTTACTTATATTTGCTTACCACATAAGAAATGTTCCTGTTTAGGACATTAAATACTTGGTTATACAGGGCTACTATAAGTGATTCATTCGTTTTTAAAATGCTATTTTCCAAAGCATTACATGTACAAATATGATTGATATATAAAAAGAACCGTAAACTCACCAAGTTTGTATTGTGTGCACCATTTGGCCGGCCGGGAGGTGGAGCTAATGTTGCAGTTGTAACGGCGCATATCCATTGGCCGTGTACGGAAAGGCGGGGCCACAGATGAAGTTATAAATATGTGCCCAGCTTTGCAGCTAGTTTATAAGCTAGAGTAGCTGGAGTGTGCATAAATACGTTCAAGTGACTAGACTGCCGTGATAGCGATTACTGCTAGAAATAGGGCATAATCTGCAGTAAAATGCCTGGGTTGACAGAGGCCTTGTATATATTGTACATAGAAGGTACAAATGTGAATTTGTAAATTATGTAAATACAGACAGTGGACTTCTTAAAATAGACTGACTGACAAATGACAGACCCAACCTCTCGTCAGAGAGGGTGCCCCAAATGGACAGGACAGCAACTTTCACAAAGAAGAAAACATCTGGTCATGAGCCGCAGCTTGGGCTCGACACCAAGACAGACAGACTGACTGACTGACCGTCAGTTGTAACATGACTTTGACTTTGACTTTGTGCATAAATACTGCGTCTCTTTGGTCACAGCTGCATGTTTGGCACTTTCTGAAGGGGTAACGGTTGTCTGCCAAACGCTGTGGGAATGTTTCCACAGTGTTTAGTACAAATTTGTATTCTCTTATGGTTTCATAAATTCTGTGCACATGCTACCATTCTTGTATCATCTAGCTTAGATGCTATTTTAGTTTGTAAGATAATGAGAAACTGAGTGAGTACAAATATATAAGACGAGAACAGAAGTTGGCTGCAGCAAGCAGTTCTTGTGTTCTTGGCAGATCAAGTATTCATTCCGTGGCTACCAGGCCTCCAAGGAATCCGTGGAATTGCGAAGGAAGCAGTTGAATGACCCACACTGGCAACCTCCACCCTTATATGTAGTCAATGTAAGTATCTGGCGTAGTGATTCTTTGTTAATGTGAAGATACTATCTGCAACACAGTTTGTGTTCTCCTATTTGCTCGTATCACATGACACCTGCTGGTTGAATTTGCACTCATTCTAAACATACATAATTACCGTTCTTTTTGTGGGAGGAATGTTTTGGTAGCTGAAGTCATAAAAAGGAATGAAGGGCGATACTTTTTAAGGATTTTACAGGAAATTAATTAATTAGGAGTTTACATTAAAAGAATGTATTATTCTTTATTTTTATGGGATATTTTAATTTATTTTATACATACTTCTCATGAAGAAGGTGTTGTTATGGCATATGATTGTGTTACTACCAGAAATCTGACCCTACATATTCTTATCTTAGATACATGAACCTGGCATGTAAATAATCAAAAATATTACCACAGCTCATTCATGTTATGAGGACCATCTGTCTCTCTGTCTGTCTGTCTGTCTTCCCATCTGTCAGTTACCTTATTCATGGCAGGAAGACTTGTTTCCTGTTTCTGTTACTCTGGCCAATCTAATGTAAAACGGTATGCTGGTGTAGACCAGGCTCATTTGGTTCATGGTAGAATACAGTGAGCACAGTCATAAACACTGGGTTCCATAAAAGTGGATGATTCCTTCAGAAGATGGTTAACTGTAAACTTTTCAAGGAAGACTTTGTGTTGTGGAGTTAATAATTTAGAGCAGAATCACAAACAATAAAACATTGTTAGCTTAGCACAACTTTATATTACACTCGACTCTTGATTATCTGGTGGCAGATAAACTGGTTTGCGGCTTAACGGGGGGCTATCGGGGCTTTTTTGCGGCTTATATATTGTTTAATGTTCATTCACTTTTGTTTCACATGGTGAGTTGTAACACAATTTTCGCGCTAGTGTGAACCGAGCTCTGCATTTCTTGGTCCCATTATGCTAACACAATGTTCTAGGGTAGGGATGAAAGAATGCAAGGATTTGTGGAAAGTTTCAAGGACAGATACACCGCCCCAGTTAGTCTCTTTATATCGATCTTCAAGTGCGTTAGCAAAATGTCAGGGTGTAAAAGGAAGCATGTTGTGTTAAGTATTCAACAGAAGTGTGAGCCGGGCTTCGAAATGTTAAGCAGTGACGAAATCATAAGTTCAGTGGGGGTGCAGCCAGAAGAGCGGGAAGAAAGAGAGAATGAGGAAGAGTTGGACAGTGCTGCTAGTAAGAAAATATCACATGGTGCTGCTCTTAATCATTTGGAATCTTTACTAGACTATCTTGAGAGTGAAGAGAACAGTTTATTAAGTGACAAGCTAATATTATGTAGGCTTCATACGGATATCCGTAAAAAGGAAAATGCCATGAAAAAGCAAAAGACAATATTACATTATTTTAAGTGTTAAGTGTGAATGTTCGTAAAAAGTGTTGGATGTTACAAATCTAAATCACTCCATCCAATGTGACCTACAAGTTCTTTACTACATGAAAACTTAACACCCTTATATGTTTCGGTCTCTGTGGACCATCTTCAGAGGGCAAACATCACTACAAATAGGAAACCACCATCACATAAGTTGTTTAGACGTAAAGTACATACACTTATATGCTACAATACATAGTACACAAAATAGAACATTTCACAAACACAGCAGTTTCCTGGAAATGTAAAGTTTTTTTTTTTATAAAATTGTATAAAATTTCTTGATGCTAATTAANTGAAGATGGTCCACAGAGACCAAAACATGTAAGGGTGTTAAAGTTTTCATGTAGTAAAGCACTTGCAGGTCACATTGGACGGAGTGATTTATATTTGTAATTGTTAGTGTGACGGACCAGAATGAAACAAATCAAACTGTTGGATGTTGTTGAACACTGTATTCAAAGGACAATTTCCACATCCTGGTTTTTTAACTTGTAGGGATATATATGGAAAATAAATGGACAATGGACAATGGACTGTGATTGAAATAACTAATTCATACTTCAGTGTAATGTAAAAAAAAGTATTAAATAGGCCATGAGATGACATAAAAATGAGGTAGAATAAATTTAAATACAGGCAGGCCTATAGTATTATGAAGGTACAGTATTACAGTACTACTTTTAATAAAATTTGTCTTAACCGGGTTTTCGATTAATCGTAATCTCCATCCCCACCATTATCCCGGATAATTGAGAGAGTTGAGTGTGTTGTAGGTAAATGGCACTAGAGAAGGGCTTAGAGATCTTATTTTAATAATGGTCCAGACATATTTCTCATTGAGAAAGTTTATGCTATTAAGGTCATATCTGGTATTATCATTCTTATGTCTGGACTTTTACACTACACCTTGCACTTAGTGACACAGTTCCCATTTCACTCTGCCTGGCGATTTAAATAGGAACTAAGACAACAGTGATGTCACATTAGAGTTCTAATATGGTGAGATGTTTGTTACTAAATAATGCGATTCCTGGCTGTCAGCCAGTGAAAAATACATGTCCATATTGCAGACATGCAATGCCAGTACTGTTGTTGCATAACCTTTCCTTTCTTTGCTATCTATTTTTCCTTCAGCAGACTTTCCTATGTGTAATTATTGACTAATTTTAAAATTTGTTACACACTTTGTGCTTATGTTCTTGAGAAGTTGAAAAGTAATCATATATAGGTATATGCAATGTAGAAACTGTAATGTGAAAGTTTAATGTTTCATGTTTGTGTTAACGCATGTATTTATAGATAATATGATGTTTTTAAATCAGCTGTGCTTGCTTTGCCTGTGTAAGCTCTGTGTTGCACATCTGCTTACTAAATATCGTAACTTTGTAACGGTTTCTAACAATATAAATTACAGTGATTTGTTCATTTAAGTGGGGACTTGTTCAGATACAGTGTTAATAATATGGTCTAGATGTGGTGAACCTTTATAATCTTGATGGCAAATTTACCTAAAAGGTCATCAACATGTAAGAAGTTGTGTAAGCTGTCCTCATTTCATTATCACCCTGGTTGATTTGAAGAGATATCTGCTGCCCCACATTAAGCGTGTATGTGTTTGCTTTGAGAGCAGCTATTGTAAACTGATCTCACATGCTAAAACAGACAAAACCTATAACTACTGATGCCAAATTTGATGCCTGTAACAATAGTTCATTGTTTTGGGTTAGTTAGTGTAGTTGGATGTTTTGCTATAGTACAAAGTGTAACTTAGATAAGTTTATTTATGTTACTGTATGTGTATACTTCTGTCAAAGTTAAGATAGTATTGTATGAGTGTTCATTTAGGCAGGGAGTTGTTAAAATGTATACTTCATGCAGTGGAATTTCTTATAATACATGCAAAATTTTACTGTAAAGTATGGTTTATCTCATGCAAACTACATTACACTCTAGTCCACACATTCTGTACTGCGGAGTATTTATTCATGGCTGGGTAGATTAGTTGATGCACTATTCTGCAGCATTTTGGCATCTTCAATATAAATCATTCCATTCACAGTTCAGTATACACTATAATTACACAGTGCATTTTTGTCTGTAGTGCATATTTCCTATGTTGTATGCCGTGAAAGCCAGAAATATGGCTTGAAACAACTCATATTGTGTTCACGTTGCACAGTTTGCTTGTTGTATATACAGACAGATTGTGAGAATATGAAGACAGATTGCTAGATGTACTGCGGCACAATGTAATCACATTAGTATTGTGTGTTGAAATGTCAATACAATGAATGTGAAAGTTAGTGAGATTTGATGTTCTCATGGCAATGAATATAAATATTACTGTCTTCTTGGATGTAATGCCTTCTATTTTGGTACAAGATTCCAACATTTCGGAGTTGCTTGTTGCTTGCTTGGATTACTCTTCAGTCCTGAAGTTGGGGTTAGTATGTTCATCCCAAACAACGGTACACTTCTGCCAGATTATATGGTGTTATATCACAGAAGAGAGTACCCTTTAACGTGAAAATAATCTTTCATAATGGTCTTAACAAAATTGATGTTAAGTGCAGTCAGAGAATGAGTTTACAAGGCAGGTACCTTGAAGTGATTCACTGAATTCTCAACATGGATGATATGCCATGGAACCACAGATAAACTATTACTTTACATAGTCCCTGTTTAGGCTGAGGTAATTATAATACTGTGAGATGCATTATTTATCTTCTGTCTCTATAAGTCAGTGTCTTGTTTCCTTAGCCACTATTTCACTTCTGCTTCAATGTCAGGATAAGTTTTAGCCTTCAGGTGCTACATCCTCTGTTTCTAGCGTTGAAGCAGCATTTTGGATGCCACAGACTTAAAACTGATGACAGTGTTGAAACAGCATTGAAATGATGGTTGAAAGAACAAGACTGTGATTTTTGTGGACAAGGAACAGGACACTCTGTAGTATGATACGTGTCTCAGTCTTCACAAGGGCTATGCAGAGAAATACTTTGAATCATAAAATTGTGTATTATCCATATCAAGGTTCAGCAGATCACTTTAGGACATATCCCTTTAAACTTATAAAGAATTCTTGACATATAAATGAATAAATGTAACTCACAGCTCAGTAACTTTATATAAAGTTCTGCTGCAGGGAGATCCTAAAACTAAAGTGTGTTCAGTACACCCCATGTCTCCAATAGAACTTATAACAACTTAATTTTTGTGTGTAACAGGCAATGGTGGCACATGGCCGCGTGGAGCTGCTGGCACATCCTCTCAGCCAAAAATATCTTCAAATGAAGTGGAACTCATATGGAAAATACTTCCACTTGGCAAATTTGCTTTTGTACTGCATATTCCTATCCTTTGTTACAATTTTTGCAGCACAACTTATGGATGATAGTTCTGTGAATGCTACAGAGATGAACGATTCTAACTCAACCTATACTGGGTCCCATAATGTGGCTAAACGAGAGGTATTAATGCATACATAGTTATATATAGCCTAATTACTGAAGTGTGAGGGTTAATCCAGTTGATGATACTGAACTGAGTAACATATCTTTAATACTTAAAAAAAAAGTGCAGTAGAACAATGCCTATGTTTGGTATGGAATTAAATTTTATTTGAGGTTTCTCTAGGACTCATTGTGAAGAAGACATTAATTATGTGATTTGGATATAGAATAACTTCTCAAATTATTAAGAACAGCGAAACCCTAAACAGTTACTTAAATAGAAGTCGTAATATTCTGCCAGTAGGTATCAAATCATGATAAAGTTTCTAAATATTTCGCACATACACACAAAGACATGTATGCACACATAACACTTACTGTGTTTACCTACCGGTAAAATATAAATATGTGTCAAGTAAATACATATATTATTTTCAGTGTGCTAGAGAACAGTTTATGAGAAACCAGGTTGAAACTTTGCAGTGACACTTGTTATAAGAGGAAGTTACAGTTTTTTTCTCCTTGACAGATTAATTACAGGTGAAATCATGATATTTCTTTTACATTTATCTCATTAAATGTTCGCCAAAGCAGAAAACGATTTATACACATGTCAAAAATATTAACAATGTAACTGTTTTATGTTACTTGAACATGCATATTAACTCTGACTTGAGTTTTCTTTTGCCAAACATTTGATTAAGTCATAAAAATGAAAGAGCTTCTAAATATACAAGAACAGGTGTAATGCCTAGTGCTTACTTGAATGTTTAATTTCACTTCTTTAGGAATTTAAACATGTTAGTTTGTGCATATTTCTGTGGATTGTGTATGTTTGATGAGATGTAATCATTGTCGATGATGCTATATTCATAATCATCCCTTGTTTTTCATGTCATTGATACTATCATGAGTTATAATAGTAATATATATAAATTTGGACATGACTACAATTTTCAAATGTCAATCTTAGTCGATGAAGAAAGTTGTCTTCTGGGTTTAGGCACCGTGTATTCTTCGTTTTGGCCGACGTTTCGGAGGAACGTAGCGCCTCCATCTTCAGAGCAGTTGAATAGCTGCAGAGAGCAGTAGCTGTGGTGTCAATCTTAGTCCATCACATGACCCCAGTTTATTCATTTTATTTGGACATGTGGGAAATCACCATGTTCAGCATTCATCATCGCCATTTTATTTTATGAATTCACAGTTACTCCAACATTGTATCAGAATATGATTTCCAATATGCTAGAGTGATTTCATCAGTAGAACAAAGAAGGTTTGATATAATTGTTGTGTCTAATGAATACCATGTTTCTTTTGCTCCTGCAGCCTGAAATGCATGGCAACTTGCCTGTGAGGTATACCTGTGCTATGATCATTATAGCATACATTGTTCTCAACTCACTGCGGGAAGTGTTACAACTCTATCAGCAACGCTGGCACTATTTACTCGATCCCATCAATCTAGTCTCATGGCTGCTGTACATATGTTCCATCATCATGATTATGCCTGTGTTCGCTGATCAGCTGACTAAGCTGCAGCTGTCATGTGCATCGATAACAGTGTTCCTCAGTTGGTTCAACCTGTTGTTGTACTTACAGCGGTGAGTGAGCATACTGCATGGTTTAGACTGCTAAAAAATTGGATTAGAAATAAGTATGAGAGGTTCCAATAAACACAACTTTTGTACAATTGCAATAATTGTACACAAATTTATCACACAACATGCTTTGGCCTATTGGCCTATATGATCACCCCATACATATGGTTTTTTTTTTTCAATTAGAGCCATGAATTTATTATTTTTGTCTGATTTTATTTCATATGTGCTCTGTCTGCTAAGAATCTGGTGTTTCTTCTTAGGACATAGAGATGCCAATAGTAATTATGATCTCTGTGTTACATACATAGTCATTGTAGAGGTTTTATGTATGACATTGATGTTTAGGATTTTGTATCTGGTGCGCTATGAATATTGTCTCTGTGGAGATTTTTGTGGAAGTCAAAACAGTTTGACAAGAATTGCTTTATAAACATTGGCCAGTATACAGATTTAGCAGTAAGCAGGTAGCAAATATACTGAAATATCTGAAGGTGGCTCCTAGTGCCAAAACATGTAGGTACATATATATGATATATAATTAATTATTATTACATATATGTTATGTTGACATAACTCATAACAAACTAGAGAACTGGTTGGTTATGAGAGATTCTGTAAGATTTTAATTGAAAGGGTTATAGTTGGACATCTGCTTATTTCCTTATCTGCCTGCATAAATTACATACTCCAGGTTTGTACTGTCACAAATTAGTGATTAGACATGTGGTTTAGATTGATAATTGGATGTATTCAGTGCTTATAACTTGTGACTACAAATATGTGGTATTTATAACACAATCTACACACTCTACAAAATCACTACAGCACACATCAAGCTTTCTCATTTTATTGTGTCTTCTCTATTCGTTACTAAATATCTGCTGTACTTCCTCACTCCCGGCCTTGCTGTCTGGTGACTGATCCACAACCCATGAACTTCGGTCAGTTAAATTGCTCCTGGCCTTCTCCAGCACAGACAGTCTTGGCTTAAATCTCTTACAGATCCATGACCAATATTTTTGTTCTGTTCTAAACTTGTACATGTTTAGAAATGGGGCCTCCTTTTCAACAAAGGGAAGTGTCAGTCTGTGCAGGCGCCATGTTTGTTGCACCATAATTTCAGAATGAGTAGATCTGCACTGTCAGGGCGTCCAAGTCACTGTGGACTCTGTGCTCCCTTTGTCAATGCAGGCTTTTGAAGCAGGTTATGCTTCAACTTATTTAACTAGTCTTAAACTGCAGTTAGTCAACTGGATGGTCATAGGCCTCACCACCGCCGAGTTTAAGCCTCCTAGTACTTCCTGTGCATGGCCTCTCCTTGTCCAGTACCACATACATTTGGATTGATATGGTTTAGGATAACTTCTGCACATGTCCTACATAATTTAATTATGTAGTTGTACTCTTAAATTTTGAAAGCCATGTGCAATTCATGGACTGGTGTGCACCTGTCAAGATTTACAATGGCACAGAGTACTCTGTTATGTAGGTGCAGCAGTTTCAAGATGTGAGCATCCACCACATACTCCAAGGTGGGACATGTGTAAGTCATAACTGACCTAATCAGAGCTTTGTAAAGCATAAGTTCAATATTTGAACTTAACCGTTAATGGCCGAAGTGCCCCGATCGGGCCAGTGATGAGTATGATCATCGTGGCCAAAGTACCTCGTTTTGGCCAGTCAGGCATTTAAACTCCACTAGTGGAAGCGCGCCCACACGCCGCTAGTAGAAGTGCTTGCACAGTCCTAAAAATTAATTTTTAAGTGTAGTAATTACCAGACAGACATGAGTAAAACCATAATAGAAGAATTAAAATGATACCTAAGTGAACAAGAGCAAAAAAGAATATATGTATGAGTTATGCCCAAACTCATCCATGAGCCAGTACTTTTATTGCAGATTCTGCAGATTAATGTGTTAAGATATATAGTAAAATTCGATGCACATACCTTATTTGTTGTTATCTGCTTGATGTATAGATAGGCTGAAATGAAACTACAGAATTCGATTTCACTATGAATGCATAGAAAACAGATCACACTCTGTATCTCAGCCATGAAGCAACTGTCTGTTCATGACCCTAGAAAGGGCAATAATCTCGTGCAGCTATAACGGAAGGTCTTAGCACTGAAGAAGGGACCCCTCTAGCTTTCTCTTGAATAGCCATTCTTTCATTCTTCTGTCCTTTTGTCAAAAGATTCCAAAATCCAAAGAGTGTAAGCAGTGCTAGCAGAAGACCAAATGATTTTATTCCTTCCATCTGTTTTCTGACACCAGGGACTGCTAAAATATGTCAAGTGTTACAAACAGAAATGAATTTATAATGCAGAACAACTCTGTGAAGAACTGGGAAACCATTTTCGCAGTACGCATCAAAATTAAAAGAAAAAATTGAAACTAGAGTATAACTCTTTGTACAAAAATTTTCAAACCTTCCGTTATAATATGCGACACTATGTTCTTTGCTAATATAAACAAAGTTAATTCCATCCATTTATCATAAAAGTCGAGTTAGATACAGAATTTTTAAACACAATGCTCCCTAACAGGAACAGACATTTAAATGTGCACCAGCAGTGGGCATTTAAATAAAATCTGGTCAGCTCAAGCTTACCACCATTTCAGAAGTCCAGCATTTAAAGGTTAAATGCCTGCTTTTGAATGGGAAATAAGCCCTTATGTATGTGCCCAAGGCTTTGGTTACTGTCCAATATGGTCTTTCCACGTCATCCTCCTGTTGAAGGTGACACCCAGATATGTTAACAATATTTACAAAGAGGAAGTCTCGTCCGTGTAGTTGTATATCATCAGAGACTCTAAGCCTTCTGGAAAAATAGATCACTGTCCCAATAGGACTTGTTGGAAGGTGCTGGAGACATTCATTTAGAATTCCATCAAAACCATGTGCCTTACCCAACTTCAAGGATTGCATTTCTTTTGAAATGTCAGAGGGTTAGAATTTAACAGGGAGGGCTTTGGTTTAGCCTCCACATGTCATCTATGGTCACAATCATGCAAGTCATGCACTCTGAATGGGTTTTCTAAGAAGTCTGCAATTATGTTGGCTTTATGAAGTGGATAAAATAGGAACCATGAATTGCAATTGGTGCCTTTTGTCCAGTCCTTTTTATGAGGGATTTTTTAATAGGCCGTATTGTTTGGGGTGTGACTTCGCAGTTTTCCAACTCTGTTTCATATCTTTCAAGTGTTCTTTTCCAGACCACTTTCCTGATATACCGGGCAACCAAGTTTACTGCCATTTCCTTGTTATATAGCTTCAGCATGGATGACACAGAAAACATTGCTTCCTACATTTCTTCTGTTGTGTGCATATCTGTTGCCATGGAAGCGTGTTTGCCTTGCCTTCGCCTAGCAGAGGAGTTCTTTGCTTCTGCTATTCTGCTTTGTAGGTGTCATGTCACAATAGTGTTTTATTCAGGTGTCTATTTCCTTCACATATATATATATACCATATTTTTTCAAGAAAATAGGAAATGAGCTGACACTTTCAAACCTAGAGGTTATTATGAGGTCTCTTTCGGTGGAATATGGTGAAACTTGTCTCCCCCAATCAACAATAAAGAGACATGAAAGTGACAGCTGCAAACATCGGTATGAATATAGTTCAATGTTTTCACAGTTCATAGATCCCATCAGTTGTCAGTTGTCCATAAGTATGTTTTGTTGTTCTGTATTATATTTTGGGTTGTAATCTGATTCAGCATATGCTATGTTATCTTTAATTTCTGTTTTATTTGTTTGGATTCATGCTGCTGTGTACTGCATTTTCTTTACAATTTTTCTAATGGCATGTTTATGAAATATAATCTAAAAACATTATATAAAAATAATCCTGATTCCGAACTTTTTACTTTCTGTACAAGTGTAAGTATAAGTTTTATTTTGAACGACAGTCATCCTGTTTCTCATTAATCCAGTCTAACAACCATGTTATTTCCTTTTTAGTCTGTTAGAACGTTTTCAAAATGTTTGTTTAATTCATCTCTCTTCACAGGTTCGATCAAGTTGGAATCTATGTGGTAATGTTTCTAGAGATTCTTCAGACACTAATCAAGGTGCTCATTGTATTCTCTATTCTTATCATTGCATTTGGGCTTGCTTTCTACATCCTCCTGTCCAGGGTAAGTTCACAATACCAACAGCATTTTCTTAGAAATAAAGGCCGATATTCAAGCAACTGAAGAGGAATCACACTTTTTAGTTTTTCAGTGGAAATATAGTTTGTAATGTATTTCAGTGAAGCCAAATGAAAAAAAAAAAAGTTCTTATTTTGGCATTTGTTATTCACTTCAATTTTTACTAACAAATTTTTAGGTTCCCCTTTTTTAAAAAGTATCCGTACAATGTATAATTGTCTATGCCAGATAAAGGCCCTGTTACCAACACCATCTAAACAGCATGGGTTTCTTTTGAACATGGACCCCTTCCTTTCAAGTGAATTTTCTTCCTACGGCATTTTATATTTGAAAAATCAGTTTGATATCAGGACATTTCCATAATTCAATGGAAAAATATAGTTCTTAGAATATCCATGGTAGATGAGTGATTATAGACTTCAGAAATTCATTTCCACTCTTTTTTAACTCAGCAAAATGACTGGCTGTGGGTGGATCCCAAGGTTTCTGTTCCTGGCAGTAGCAGAGAACTTCGTCATTTCATCCTCATCCATGCTAGTTCTGGGTTCTGTTAATTATCTAAGTCATTGGGTATGTTGGAATCCTACTGAGTAGGTTTCACCTGAGGGCGGGGACAGAATCCAGTCTCTGAAACATCATGCTTTTAAAAAAGAAACAGGACGGTTTTTAAAAAATAGACAAGATGATGGATAATGTCCAAAAACATGATACCTGTACATAGGTCGTACCAAAAGGCATGAGCAACTTTTTTTTGCATGCAACCTGGGAACAGCAGATGAAAGGGAGTACGGTGGTAGGTGGAACCGGCTGTTGTGTTAACCTTGAGTGTCTTGTGACGTCAATAGCTTGCATCACGTGACCAGTATCGCTCCTGACAAAATGGTCGACAGCGATATGTTGTTTCGCCAGCGTGCTGTCATCGAATTTCTTGTGAAAGAGGAAATCCCTGCTGCAGAAATTCACCAGAGATTTCAGCGTGCTTATGGAAGTGTGTGCATGGGTGTGAGCAGTGTTTGAAGATGGGTGAAATATTTTAAAGATGGGAACACCAGCATCGAAGATGAGCCTCGGAGCGGTCGTCCTCAAACAGCCTCAACTGAACACAACAAGGAAAGCGTGGATGAGATCATTCAAGATGACAGGTGTGTGACTGTGGACACAATAGCCCGAAAACTTGAAATAGGGCACAGTGCAGTACAGGAGATGATTGAAAGCTTGGGCTATAGGAAAGTTTGTGCTCATTAGGTCCCGTCGTTATTGACCGAAGACCACAAAGGTCAGTGAAAAGCCATCACCTCAGAACTACTGCAGAGATATTGACACAAAGGCGATGATTTTTTGCTCTGTATTGTGACAGGTGACGAAAGCTGGTTTCACCATTTCGAGCCTGAAACAAAACTGCAGAGTATGGAATGGCACCATTTGCATTCTCCATCAAAAAAGAAGGCAAAGACAGTGCCATCAGCTGTGAAGGTGATGGGCACAGTCTTCTTGGGTGCAGAGGGGTTTGTTGTGGCCGAATACCTGCAATCTGGGCAAACCATCAATGCTGCTCGCTATGTCCAGATGCTGCACAAGCTCCGTCGTGCATTGCGCGATCACCGTCCGGGACAAAACATCATCATCCTGCATGACAACGCTCGCCCCCACACTGCTCGCCTCACATTGGAAGCAAGTGCAAAGATGGGGTGGGAAGTTCTTCCACACCCCTCCCACAGCCCTAATCTGGCACCCTCCAACTACCACCTTTTCGGATTTGTGAAGGATCAGCTGCGTGGACAATGTATTGAGACAAGGGAGGCAATTCAGAAAGCAGTGCGTCAGTGTCTTTGGACGGCTGGAATGGAATTTTTCAAACTCCCAGAACACTGGGAGAAATGTGTACAAAGAAGTGGCGATTATGTGGAAAAATAAAGAAAGGTCTGTAGATTGAGATGGTGTATTTGGTTTGTCAATAATAAAGCATATTACTTTACAAAAAGTTGTTGCTCATGACTTTCAGTACGACCCTTGTAGCAACATACCATTGTCACAAACTTTTAGATCTTAAATTTCATGTTAGTTATGAACTGTGGAAAGGTATTATCCCAACTTTAGAGTGAATCTGGCTCTTAGTATTAACACTGTTTTTAAAAATTTATCATTATCTTGTAGTAGTAATGTAGTTATCTATTGTTAAAATGTATGTTTTCGCTGAAAATTTAGTATTAGGACTTTGTGTCATGTACAGGCCTGATAGAACTATGGCATTCTTTACATGGCTCAATCAACCTGAAGTGTATCCTATAACTCATTCAAGTCATACTTTCTTACCCAGGGAGGCCACTTGTCATTCAGCAATGTGCCCATCTCACTTATACGAACATTTTCCATGATGCTTGGTGAGATAGATTTCCTTGGCACATATGTACAACCATATTATGATGAGAATGAAAGTAAAGAGAAGAAACTGCCATATCCCATTCCTGCTTTTCTTATCCTTGGACTTTTCATGGTGTTTATGCCAATTCTTCTCATGAACCTCCTCATTGGTTTGGCTGTTGGAGACATAGAGTCAGTGAGAAGAAATGCTCAGCTCAAGAGACTTGCCATGCAGGTAAGGAATGAGAATTTGTCACCTTCAGGGCTCATATTCTTAAGAATGTGAAAATGGGACTAAGCCACCTCTTACTCTGCAGGTTGTGTTGCATACTGAATTGGAACGCAAGCTGCCACAGTTCCTACTTGAAAAAGTTGATAAGATGGAACTCATTGAGTTTCCTAATGATACAAAGTGCAAGCTTGGCTTCCTGGATACGTTACTGAGGAAGTGGTTCTGGAATCCCTTCTCAGATGATGGTACGTAGTCTGCTGCCCAAAAAATAAATATTATGTTGTTGATAGTTCCATATTCTCCATAGGGAAATAACTATCATGCATTATTTGCCCCAAAGTAAGTGAGAAGTCCACCTGGCTGCATGTTCAGTCTCCAAATCTAGTACACATATTTTTGTGGAATTTTATATTGGAATGTTCACGGCAAATGTCCTGACACATTTAATTTCATTTGTATTGCTCCAGCATAAAGTACACTTTACAAGAAACTCTGATCAAACTTTACAGATTTTCTGAAGAATGGATCATAAATATAACTGGTACAAGGTGTATAGAAATTTCCTGGATTAGGTCAAAAAGAAATGCTGGCTTAACTGACTCAACTTTGGCTGCCATATCCTTCAAAATAGTCTCCTTGCGAACGTATACAGCTATCCCAACCTTTTTTTCATGCTTCAAAAGCAACGTGGAAGTCATTTTCCTTAATGCTGTTGAGTACCTCTTGCGATACCCTTTGGATGTCAGACACTGTTTCAAAACGTTGTCCCTTCAGTTTCATTTTCAATTTTAGAAACAAAAAGAAATAACAGGGAGCTAAGTCGGGTGAGTAAGGAGGATGGAGAAAGATAACCATGTTGTTGTTAGTTACAAACTCTGTGGTTTTCAGGAACATGTGGGTGGGCTCCTTGTCGTGATGGAGCCAGTTATGGATGCTTGCTTGATTTCAGTCAGATATTGCAGCAATAGAGTTAAGAAAATAAAATTCATGACTTTGCTGTGTGATATTTGCAATGTGAATAACTTTGCAATAATAGATATGTATTCACAATAAATAACAGGCAAATGTATTGTATAAAATTGTAATACCGACAGCTGTTCTGGTGAGATATTATGGTCTGATTATGTACATATTGTTATGCAGCTATAGCATATGAACCATCAGTTGCTTGTATTGCAGGGCTTGAAATTGTGCTGGACAGTTCAGATGATTATGTATCTGAGGAGTTAACAAAGCAGAAGAAGAGATTGAAAGAGATCTCATCAGCATTGGAAACACAACATTTACTCCTACGTCTCATTGTCCAGGTTTGACTATGCTTTCCAACATTTAGTAATAATAATAATAATAATAACGATGACAACAACAACAACAATAATAATAATAATAATAATAATAATATTGTGCTACTGCTAATTTAATCAGCTTCCTACAAATGAGGGTTGCAGTAAAAATTAGGTCTTGCAAATTAAATACTCATTTTTCCCTTTAAGCCTTGAACTAAATTATATTCTTTTAAGTCCAGAGCAGCATGTTACCGAACTTGTTCCATGGATAACTTTACTTTATGTACAATTTATTTAACAATGCTGTCACACTTCAGAATGTATAGTGTTGAATGCTAGGATGATAGCGAATAATGAATTGGAAGTGAAAGGAAGTGGCCATGACATAATATCAAGTAAAGTCCCAGCATTTTCCTGGTGGGACTGAGGAAAAGCACAAAAATTCTCAGTCAGTATAGCTAGTCCTCATACTTGGATTTTAACTTGAGACCCCCTAAATACAAAGCAGCAGTTCTATCCACCTCAATATGGTATTGCATCCTAGGAATCATTATTTGCAGCAGAACAATCTCATCGAGTTTAACCATACATTTACATACTAATGTATTAGAATAGAGATTTCTCATTGTTAGAAAAGTTAGGTAAAATGTAGAGGCTTCAAAGCCTTTATTAATTTCCTTGAAATTTGATCGTAGCAGCCGTTGTTGTAAGTTTTACCTTCACTTTAAATTTAATATTGTAATCTTCTCATTTTATGAGAGTTTATGGATACAAATCCCTTATCTTTTTTCTTTGTCCCCATAATCCATGTCAGCTGTTCATAGACGTCAAGAAAGCGTATGATTCAGTTAGGAGGGAAGTATTGTACAATATTCTAATAGAGTTTGGAATACCCATGAAACTAGTTAGGTTGATTAAAATGTGTTTAAGCGAAACGTGTAGTAAAGTCCGTGAAGGTAAATATTTGTCTGATAAATTTCCTATCCAGAATGGTCTAAAACAAGGAGATGCTTTATTGCCACTCCTTTTCAACTTTGCCATAGAATATGCAATTAGGAAGGTCCAGGGAAACCAGGTGGGACTGAAATTAAATGGGACACATCAGCTGTTGGTCTACGCCAATGATGTGAATCTACTGGGTGATAATGTAGATACCATAAAGAAAAACGCACAAACTTTAATTGACGCAAGTAAAGAGGTTGGTCTAGAAGTAAACACAGATTAAACTAAGTATATGTTACTGTCTCGTCACCAAAATGCAGGGCAAAATCATGACATAAAGATAGGAAACAGATGTTTTGAAAATGTGGCACAGTTCAGATATTTAGGAACAACAATAACAGATCAAAACCTGATTCAGAAAGAAATTAAGAGGAGATTGAACTCAGGGTAATGCTTGCTACCATTCGGTCCAGAACCTTTTGTCTTCTCATCTGCTGTCCAAAAACATAAAAATTAGAATATACGAAACTATAATTTTGCCTGTGGTTCTGTATGGGTGTGAAACTTGGTCTCTGACATTAAGGGAGGAACATAGTCTAAGGGTGTTTGAGGACAGGGTGTTGATGAGAATATTTGGACTGAAGAGAGATGAAGTGACAGGAAGTTGGAGAAAACTGCATAATAAGGAGCTTCATAAATTGTACTCTTCTCCAAGTATAATTAAAATGATCAAGTCAAGGATGGGGTGGGCAGGGCATGTAACACAAATGGGGGAGACGAGGAATGTGTATAGGATATTGGTGGAAAAGGCAGAAGGAATGAGACCACTGGAAAGACCAAGGCATAGGTGGGTGGACAATATTAAAATGGATCTTAGAGAAATAGGATGGGATGGTATGGATTGGACTGGTATGGCTCAGGATAGGGACCAGTGGAGGGCTCTTGTAAACATGGTAATGAACCTTCGTGTTCCATAAAATGCTGGAAAATTCTTGAGTAACTGCAGAATTGGCGGCTCCTCCAGAAGGGCTCAGCTCCATGAGTAAGTAAGTGATCCTTGTCTTGCAGTTTCTTTCCAGCTCTATCCTTTCTTCTTGGTAATGATGGCAAAGACACTGCTGCACCACTAAACATGCTCAACATCAACATCATATATATGAGACAAACTCCGTCTTAAGTGCAACAATTTAATTGTAGTTCTTTCTTCTTCCCTTCCTCCACACTACATGTTTCAGCCCTAAATGGCCATCATCAGGTGTGTATTCTTACATAGCTGCTACACTGCCCGTAGTCTACAAATTTTCTGTTCTTTTTCTTTTTCCAAATTTTTAAAAATTAAAATTTTCTCAGGGTACACGCCCTATGTCTATAGTGCTGCAGCGGCCACTTCTTGTTTTATCGCTGTTCAGGTATTGTCTGTAATATACAAATATTTGTATTACTATCTTATGTTATGTTATATTATGTTTCTGTTATACAGAAAATTTGTAGACATTTTAATTTGAATTGAAGTTTTAAAAAAGTGCCAATTTTAGAAATCAAATTCACGCGTGTAGGTTAACAAAGATTTTATACATACATACAATTGGAAAGACTGGTGATTTTAAATTTTAAACTATGGGCAGTGTAGCAGCTACGTAAGAATACACACCTGATGATGGCCATTTAGGGCCAAAACATGTAGTGTGGAGGAAGGGAAGAAGAAAGAACTACAATTAAATTGTTGCACTTAAGATGGAGTTTGTCTCATATATATATTGTGTGAGTGCAAACAGGATGCTTAAATATAATATAATATCAACATCATCATCATCAGTCTTAGTAGAAATGTAGTTAGCTAGTCCATTTAATTAAAGCACTCTTGGATAATAAAGATTGTGTGTAAAAAGAGGTGTTACTGGTGATTGATAAGAGCTGTGATAATGTGTCTGTTCCTCTGGCAGTGGATGAGAACTATATTAGGTATATTACAAATGAATAAAAATAAAGTATGGTTGATATTTTATAATTTTGCCTACCCAAAGTGACCTCACCATTACTTATAAATCCTAACCTGATGTTGGAATTTTAAATGATAGTACTTTTAATATAAAGACATGAGGGCATAATGCATACTGATTCATGATTAGATCATTGGACAAAATACATATCAGGAGATCCTGTAACAGTCTAAAATCTGTCATATTGCATCTTGGTAAAGAAGTATTTTTGAATAACACTGCATTTATTATTAATATTAACTATTGCTTCTTCCCTTTAATTAGAAAATGGAGATCAAGACAGAAGCAGATGACGTTGATGAGGGAGTTTCTCCCAATGAAATTCGCCCATTGCTTGGTATAGCCAATAAGTGGACCTCCCCCAGAGTCCGTAAGAAACTTCGGTCTACATTAAGCTTTTCAAAGAACCAACCAACATAGCAACTTGTATCCATGAGCAACATATGTGCTGTCATTTACTGGATAGAAATTCTGTCAGAACTACGTCTTAAACAGACCATTGTTCGGCATGTGCCTCAACTTGTAGACAGTGTTACATACTTTTTGAATAACATGGATCTGCTGGTTTTATTCTTTATTCTAGTCAGTCTGTACAAAGATGAAATAATTACAAATAAATGCTGGAAAAGGTAATACAGAATATACTTTAGATAAGAGAATCCTCTAAGGCAATCTCGTTGACACTCATCATTAAAGTGATTACAGCTCATGAACAGAGTCATTTATATTAGTAAACAGGCTCTGAACACAGTGTGTACTGTTTATAACAGCTGAAAATTTGAATATAATTACGAAACAGCTAAGAGACTATTAGCTTCTCAAGGACTGTACTCCCCGTTGGTTAGTTACATAACATTTGTTATGGAAGACAATGAAAATATCTGAAAGTTTATGCAAGAATGCTTACAATTTCTAGATATTCCAGTACATTGCGCATATAAGAATTATACATGTGGGAAAACAGAAAATTGTTAAATTAAATATTTGTCAGTTATGATGAAAAATGTTAGTACACCCTATTGGCAGCTTGAGACAATACCATTCTTTACAATTTTTAGAGAGACAAGTAAGAACTAGAAAATAAAATTGCTTGAGGTGAGTCTGACCCTAGGCCTTCAAAATGGAACAGGTATGCTATGCATGAGCCACCAAACTGAGCATTCTTTACTTCTTTCATTCTTTTTTATACATTCGGTCTTATGCTCATCCGCAAGTTGGCCTTCCCTGCTGGATAAAAAAAAAATCATTATTAAATTTTACTTCTGTAATGCTCATATTTATTAAAGAAGCTGTTCTGAGTAGAGTACATAAAACCAACTTTCATGTTGCATACGTCCAGTTCTACAAATCTAGTGCTGTTAGCTACACATCTTCTTGAGAGCAGAGCATTACTTAAGTACAGTTCTGCCCACATTAAATTTGTCAGACATAACCTCAAAATTCCACGCCATACCAGTGGTTATATTTATTGTCTTATAAACAATGTCTCATAAAGAATCTGTAATTATATTTATGATCTATCTCCATATCAGTTTCCCAATTCCTGTCTCTAGTGATTTTTTAGTTATTGCCATCAAACTTGCTTGCCAGTGTGTGTTTGGAATGCCATTCATCCACCATGCTGCAACTGCTAGTTGTAGGAGATGAAAAATGGATGTGGTTCAGTGGTCTTTAATGGCATATAGTTCATAACAAATTTCATTAAAGTTGGTCACAGCTGGTTCACAAGTTCAAATGGGGAGATCCTGACATTTGCAGAGACATTATGGAGGTTTCATAATCCAACTTTTCTTAAGAAAGGAGGGTAGCCTATAAAGAACAGAACAACTTTTACTGAAATGTGTAATTTAAATATGTTTTGAGAATATGTTTACTGTGTTAACTCAGTAATGAACTCATTATAGCTAGTATTAAGGTTGTATTTACACTGTAATTTGTTTAACCAGTTGTAGAATGCATCATTTTATATTTTACACAATCTGTTACTGGTTAAAAGATCTGGAAAGTTTGATTGATAATTATATCTGTAGATATCTTGTGAAACAAATGTAATTGCAGTATTTCTTGTAGCTATGTTTGCTGTAAGTACTTGAATTTTAATTTCAGTTAACTGTAGTACGTATCACAGTATATTTAAGATACCTTTTACATGCTTCTTGAAGCAAGAGTTGTCTTACTTAAGTGACTGTCTCTTACACATATACACTATATGCTACTTAGTTCTTGTTGGAGTATTTATACTGCCATTCATCAACCTGCAAAAAGGTGTTTGGATTGATTGTCTTTTGCAGTCCATATCCATCATTTTGTGGCCTTTCCAGTGAAATGTTTGATCTATATAAATTATAAACCAAGAGAAAACTGTACTTCTTAATGTAGCATTATTCAGGGAGATCTGGACTGTTAACCATATAAAGGCAGAATTATAGTTCTTTACATCAGTTATGTTTTTCTATTAAAATGAATATTAATCCAAAACAGTTCATCTGATTCTTATTAGACAAAACTCAATAATATTGTCTATGACATACATGTGTACACAACACACATACAGGAAGTATGGAGTGATATCAGACAGACAGTTTGGTCACAACAAGGAAATGGATGTCAGAAATTTCTGGACTATATTCTTTGTACACAGTTAGAATTTAGACTTAAACCTCCTGCTAACTTGCAGTCATCTGGCCTGTTTTGTTGATGACTTATAAATGTGCAAGTGAAAGATCGGTTAGGCAGCAGTACCTTTGGTGGCATTTTGAGTCAAAATTTGACTTTTCATGTATTAAAATTAAAATAAATGTAACACTGTTCATTAAATATTATCATCTTTTTGCTTCATATACCCTGGGTGGATGTTGTAGTTACTTCACCCCTGCCCCAGCTGTACTTCATCAAGTTCAGCTATGGTCAGTACTGCTAAAGAAAAACGAGATTTTATATAGTATATGCAATATATATCTATCCTACACATACACACTTAATTTCTTCAGATTGTCAGTAGTTAAGACAACACTTCTCTCTGATTCCATTCTGTACTCTATGAATCATTTTTCTTTTACTAGAGTAACCCTGAACATGTCACATTCAGCAGTGAAACAATTAAAAATTCAACATGGTGATAGGTGTTGCACATTCTAAGAAGTTCAGTACTTCCTGAAAATTTCTGTAAAATCATGGTCATAATACATACATACATAATTCATAAATTCACTGATCCGTTGTCCAAATCGGACCGGATATTGAACTCGTCAAAATAAGACTTGACTGCAGAAATACAATCGTGTCAACAGCAAACAACCACACACAACCAAAAGCACCAAATAAGCATAATTTACATTTTCATTCATAAACAAAATTACAAGGAATAATGTTATTAAATGTTATACATGCTTAGCAGAAATATATTCATCTATTGAATAAAAAGCATTTGTTGTGAGGAAACTTTTCAGTGTGCATTTAAAAATCTTCACATTATCACTCAACCTTTGTATATTTTGAGGAAGATTATTATAAACCATAATGGATGAATATAACACGCCTCTCTGGATTGAAGGTAATCTCACTGATGACACATGTAGCTTTCCAAACTGTCTAGTGTTCATATGATGAATATTATTGTTGGTTTGAAAATAAATTGTGATTTCTAACAACAAACATCAATATAGAATAGATATATATGCTAGGAACCATCAAAATACCCAACTTCTTAAAACCTACTCTACACGAGTTTCCAGGAATCAATCTCAGCATAACCCTAATCACTCTTTTTTGGGCAACAAATAAACTTTTCATAACTGGAGAAGATCCCCAGAATATAATACTATATTCAAGCTGAGACTGATAAGAAAAATAGACCATTCGAAGAGCTTGTTCACTGACAAGGGATTGCAACTTCCTGAGCATAAAAGACACTGTATTCAGTTTCTTTAATAATTTTTCAGATTGTTTTTCCCAATTAAGTTGACAATCTAAATACATCTAAATACACAAGACATTATGTACTCCTTATTGCAAATCTAGAAACAGCTTTAAATAAGTCAGTCAAATGAAATGTTCTTCCTAACTGTAATTTGATTTTAGGATTTACATTAAGATTTACTTGGATCAGTATTTTTATTCAGTTTAAAGAAATATGAAAATATTGTTACTTAAAACCTGACTCAAAAACCTTGCATCACCTATGCTGTTATTACATAACAGTTTATACAACTTGCTCTTCTCTTGTTGCAGTCTCTTAACCATAAGGTCCTCCTCCTAAACACTGAATAACCTGAACTGAAGTTTCAAAGGAACCTACTTTTTTTTTGTTTTATTATGAAGGAATATATATGAGTTTACCTTGAGCAGAATGGTTTCAAATGCAGTCATATTGTTAGGATGTGAATCAGTGAGAGAAAAAAGAGGCATACTGTATTTAATTCTAGAAGTCATGTGATAGTCACAGGAAGGTTACACTGTTGTCGGAGGTTGTGCTCGTAATAGTGATAATGATAATAATAAACTGCATATTGGGGTAGCTGTTTCTGATACCTTTCAAGTTCTCATTTCACGTTTATAAGCTTCAGGGGCATGAAAACGTTTATGAATACATCTATGAAAGAAATATTTTGTAGGAAAATGAGTGCTTAAAATTTGAAGCTCTCATTATTTTAAGAATCACTGTAAGGATACATCCAGTTCCTTCAGTAGTAAAGCTTTCACTTCTTTGAGCTTATACAGAAATTGCTTTGAATGCCTCATATAACCAACTTGATAATCATATTTTCTTCTCCACACAAAATTAAAATCTATTTGTAATGGTATTGATAAGTTTGATTTTTTTATATGTAATAATACAAATGCCGTTGTGAATGCAACAATTTATTTGGTTGTAGTTCTTTGTCGTTTCTTCCTCTACACTACATGTTTTGGCCGTAACTGACCATCATCAGGTGTATTTTTCACTGCATAGCTGTCACACTGCACACAATCCAAAATCTAAAACACCAGCCTGTCAGTTTTGTTTAAAATCTCACCAACATATGCTCGTCAATTTGATTTTAGAATTCCAGTTTAAAATTTAAAATTTTTTAATTTAAAATTCAAAATTTAAAGTTTTAAATCACAGGGATACCTGCTCTGTGTCTACATGTGCTGCAGCGGCTATTTCTTGTTTCCAGCACCACTCATGTATTATCTGTAATACACAAATATTCGTATTACTGTCCTATGTTCCTATGTTATTCTTATATGTTTCATACTGTTGTGTGTACTTACTCTGTGCAGGTTCCCTGTGTGTGTCACTGCTCATCTTTAATACTTTTGCCATCTGGTGTGTTGTGTGCTGTTTTTTTATGTTGCTGAGTGTAGGAGAGGAAGGGGTTGTGGGGAGGGGGGTACCATTAATCTGTATAGATCTCGTATATTGTTTGAAATATGGGATTGTGTGTTTCTATGTGTGTGTCATTCATGTGTAGGCCTTTCTTACTTACTTTATATATATGGTATTTCTCCAGTGTATTCAAATGTCTACCCTTCTTTCCCATTGTTACAACTTCCATTATGTCTGTTATTGTTCCGTATGAATGTCCCGTATTTTGTATGTGATTTGAGTATCTGGAATTGCTATTATTATTTCTAATATCATGTATATGTTCCTTATATCTGGTGTTAAATGTTTGGCCCATTTGTCCGATGTACTTCAATGGGCAATCCACACATTTCATTTGGTATATGCTACTTTTATTGTATTTATCCAATTGTGGTTTATGTTTGAGTATATTTTCAGTTGTGTTCCGTGTGTCTTTGAAAAGTTTCGTTATTTTCTATACTTCTTTTGTACCATATGTAAATATGGCCCATTTTCTTTTTTGGTGTTGTTCGTCGTCATGTATGTTTGATTTCTGTTTTTGCCTTGTCTGATTTGAATTGTTAATTATGTTTGTATCATATCCGTTGTTATGTAGTATGTTTTTAATGGTGTTCTTCTCTATCTGTTTTTCTTTTTCTGTTATTGGGTATGTGCAGAGTCTATTTATTAGATAATTAATACCTGACAATTTGTGCTCGAATGGATAGGTATTATGTTAGGTAGTATGATGTCAGTTTGTGTGGGTTTCCTATATATTGCAAATTGCAACCTATCTTCCTTACGATGTATTGTTATATCTAGAAAATTAATAGATTCTCGTTGTTCTTTCTCATTGGTGAAGTTTATAGTTGGTTGCAATTCGTTAATTTTTTTGAAAGTATGTTCCATGCTCGTTATCTTTTCATCATACTATATTGTATATTATTAATATGTCATCAACATATCTAAAGTAAGCCACTATTTGTTGTTTTACTAGAATGGGATACATTTGTGTATGTTCCATATATTGTATATATGTTTCTGCTATTATTGCTGATGTTGGGGCTCCCATAGCTAGTCCATCTGTTTGTTTGTAGTATTCTTGGTTACTTTGGAAATAATTTTGTTCAAACACTGTCTTTAATATATGTATTATTTCCTTGTGGCTTTCTTTATCTATTTCTTGGTCTTTTTCTAATATAGAGTTTATTATATCTATGGTATTTGTTTTCGATATGTTTGTGTACATGTTCTCTATGTCAAAGGAACATAGTCGCATATTGTCATTAAGTTTAATAGTTTGTAAATCTGTCATTAAGTGGGAGGAGTTTTGGGCATTGAATGTGTTTGGTAATTTTAGATGACTATGCAATACTTTTGCTAATTTTCTTGCTATTTTGTAAGCTGGGGCGTTCTTCCAGTTTATTATTGGTCTAATGGATGTGTTAGGTTTATGTAATTTTATTGTGGCATGTAGGCTTCATGTCTGTGTATTTCCACTTATTATTTTGTATGATATTATTATACTGTTTCAGTGTTTGTTTTACTGCCCTTTGGTATTGTTGGGTCAGATTTTTACCAATTTTTATAAATTGGTTATTGTATGAAGTTATTTATTTTTTCACAGAGATATTGGGTTTTTGGACTTTATCCACCATCCTGGTTTTAAGATAACTAATAAAAACACGACGTTTTGGAAACTGGATCTAGCTAGCTCTTTCTGAGGGACCCAACAGAATAGGTGTTTTCCCTCACCTGAGGATGGAAACAGATCCAGTTTCCGAAACATCATGTTTTTATTAGTTATCTTAAAAACCAGGATGATGGATAAAGTCCGAAAACCCAATATCTCTGTGTGTTATACACCATCGTCAGAATCCTATAGTAATTATTTATTTTCTGTTTATATTCCTCTTGTGTTAGTATTACTACTGTTTTTCCTTTATCTGCTTTAGTTATAATGAGTTTATTCTCATCAATTTTATTTTTTATATTCATTATTTGTTTCCATTCTCTCTTATCTTTGTTATCTTTCTTATTTTCATTCCTTTCATTATTATTCTTGTGTATATCTTTTAATTTCTTCGCAATTAGATATCTATAATAATTTTG